AACGCCACCAGCAGCACGCAGCCCGTGCACACCACCGCGGTGGCAAGCAGCACGCGCCTGGTCACCTGCACGCCACGGCGCGGCGGCACGCCACAGCCGGCGGCTCAACGGCTGCGCCGAGGCGGGCGGCGCGGCGTGCGCACCACAGGCACACCACAGGCAGGGGGTGGCTGCCGCAGGCGGCACGCCAGCCACACCCCGGCCAGCGCCTGGCCGCCCCCGCTGTGCGCCTTGCCTTCTCCTTGTTCACCCAGCGCCCAAAGGCGATGTTGCTGATGAACTGCACGACGCCCAGGGCGCTCAGCAGCGACTGTGCCGTGAACGCAAAGCTCACCAGGCTGCAGCCACAGCGTGACAGCAGCCCAGAGAGAAGGGGGTGGGCAGGCGCATCAGGCTGCCGGCCAGCCGCCAGCCACGATGGGCTCGGGTGGTGGGAGCCTGCCCTGCTGGGCAGGGCTACGCCCTCTGGCACAGCCGGCATGTGCTCAGCACCAGCAGCACACCACGGCAGCAGCACGGCAGCAGCAACCAGCCTCCCCAGCCGCCTGCGCACTTGAGCATGTTTCCGACCGTGAAGAGCAGCATGCCTCCCAGCCACACGCGGTTGCCGGGGAAACTCCACCTGCAGCGCACAGGCAACCACAGGGCGTGCGTGGCAGTCCATGGCAGCACAGCACACCTGCTCTTGGCTGCCTGCACCAGCGCACGCGCCACAGCGCGACTGCTGCTGCGGCCGCGAGTGCGCCCGCCACCGCCTCCGCACCATCTCCGCGGCTCCTTGCTCATCTTTGGCGGCTTGTCCCCGCCGTCTGCTGCGGCCAGCTCAGTCTTGGTGTGTCCCAGCTTGATGATGTTGGTGCCCAAGTTGATCATGATGCTGCCTGCGTTGCCGGGGAGGGGGCAGGGAGCGGGCACGGTGATGAGCGGCTGGGCAAGCAGCCAGCGGGTGTGGCGTCACGCTTCCAAGCCCCTGGCTGCTAGCACCGACGACGTTGATGATCGCTCCCACCGCCCACAGCGCCATGGCTCAGGGGCTTGCGAGGGTAGCGGGTCAGCTGGAATGATTCCAGGCCGCTCAGGCCCGCACTGGGGGCCGCGGCTCTGCAAGCAGCGGCGGCGGCGGCGCTGTTGGCAGCGGCGGCGGTGGTGGACAGACGGCGGGAAGGTTGCTGTCTTGCGCCACCTCCTCCAGTGCGCACCCGCTTGGGCAACGTCCTGCCCGCTCCCTTGCACGACCGACCGCCAGAGTTTAAGTGGGGCAGGCGCTATGCTGCTGCCAGCCGCGGCACGAGGCTGCAATTGCTGTCAGAACCCCTGCCGGATCAAAGCTAGCAGCACAGCATATGGTCGCGTTCGGGGCGAGGGTTTGGCATGTGTTGGACTGAAGGTCTTGTTTGCGCACGCACTATTGCTCGGGAACGATCGTTTAAGCTTGCCAAATGGTCGTGCAGGCAAGCCGCAGCAGTGAGCCTCGCTGTCACGAAGATCAGCCCGGTAGGTCAATATCATAGCGAAAGAGGGAAACCCATCCGACGTGCCTTCGGACAATTAAACGAGAAACGCAAGTAATGAAGCAAAGCTGCCAACATCTGAGCTCAGCTGAGGACCACCTGCGTGGAAAATGGAGGGACGGATGGCGCTCACTAAGAGCTCCCCGTGATCCTCCTGCTGGAGCAACGTGGCAGCGGGGCAGATGGCGCCAAGATGGCTTTGATCACCCCCACGCTGGTTAGTACTGCCTGTCCTGCTCTGAGGCGATGCAGGCTCAGCAGCGCCTCCCGCCCCCTCCGATCGCAGCCGACCGCTAGTAGATGCAGCCTGGTGACTCGGGTGTGCGGGGCAGGAGATCTGTCGTTTCAAACTCACACCATCGCAGCTCAGCACAGCTGGGGCTTGCATTGGCTGCACAAACAGCAGAGATGGGGAGCAGCAAGACGCCGGCGCCGTTGAAGGCGGTGCTCGGCGCGGGCGATGGCAGCGGCGGCAGCGCAGGCGGCAGGAGCCACGTGGGCGCCACCGCCGACGCCACCGTTGGTGGGTTCCTCTGCCGGTCTCAGCACGCCACCACTACTTGCGTTGCATGTGGATTTGATGGGGTCACCCCCACCATTTTGCAGACATCGGGGCGCTGATGCGCAAGAAGAAGCAGATGCTGCTGGTCCCCAGCAGCGGCATCGTCGGCGGCGGCCTGGCCAGCAGCCGCAGCCAGGCGCCGGCGGCGCTGCTGGAGGGCATGGCAGAGAACCCCATCTACTCACCAGACGACTCCCTGGCGAAAGCGGCCAGCAAGCTGCAGTCGCTCAAGGCCCTGCGCGCCTCGGTGCCGCACCCACGCCCCGCCGCGCCGGCAGCCGAGCTGGCGGCGGCCCCGCCGGCGCCAGCACCACAGGCCTGTGACTCGCCGCGGCTGCAGGAGGAGGCCGGCAGGCACGCGGCCCAGGCCTCTGACGCGGGGCAGCAGCTCAGGTAGCCCCACCAACCGGCTCTCACTGCCTGCCTGCCGATGCCAGCCTGCTCTCGTCGCCAGCCGCCTGACTTGCCATACCCCGACCATCGCCACACCCGCCCTGGGCATGCATCCCATCCCACCCACCCCGCCTCCCCGCAGCGGCGAGGACTCTGGAGAGCTCGCGGCACTGGCTGCGCTGCAGAGGCGGCGCAGGTCGCTGCACGGCGCAGCTGGCGGCGGCAGTACGCGCAAGCAGCGGTACGGCTCCTTCTGGGAGGGCGACGACCGCGAGCTGGAGCACACCCTGCATGTGGGTGGCGGGAGGCGGGGCGGCTCGGCTGTGGAGGCCTGGTGCTGGGTGGCCAGCGCCTGCCCGCTGGCTGCCGGCTGCCGCTGGCATACTGTGCTCTGATGCCGCCCTTTTGCCAGCCCCTTGGGCAGCCCCTTGGCACCTGCACCACACTGTGCCTCCAGTCACTGCCGGCAGGCCTCAGCCCCGCTGGCAAGCACGCCCCGCCGCCTGCCTGCCCCGTCTCCCGCAGGAGTACAACCGTGCGGCGGCGGCGGCGGCGGCCAGCCCTCGCATGACGCGCGCGCAGCGGCGCAAGAGCCTGGCCGTGGGCAAGTCGCTGCAGCTGGAGCCGGGCTTTGCGGCGGCGGTGCTGGATGGGAGTGAGGAGGAGGAGCAGGGCGGCCAGGAGCAGCAGCAGCAGCAGGGGAGGCGGGCTGGCGCCGGCCGCCGCAAGTCAACGGGCGCAGGCCTGCTGGTAGGCTGGGGCCGGGCCTGCTGTGGGGGGGGCACCGCCTCTGAGCGCCGCCGCTCCCAGCTGCACGCCTCTCCCGCTCTGCGCCCCGCCACGCACTCCACCACCCCGCCGCGCGGTGTGTGCCTGCGCCGCAGGCGGCCCAGCCCTGCTCCCAGCCCCGGGAGCAAGAGCCGGGTGTGGATCGGTAGCGGGAGCGTGGGGTGGCGGCGGCGGGGGTGGCGGCTGAGGTGGCGGCCATGAGCGCCCACCTGTGCGGACAGCTGGACGGGATCGTCGAGGACTCGCCCGAGAAGCGCCCCGGGTGCGTGGCAGCGGGGGTGGTGGTGGCGGCGGCGGTGGGAGCGGCGCTGGTGGGCGCGGCGGCAGTACCAGCGGTGGCGGCGGCAGTACCAGCGGCAGCCAGCCCTTGGGGCTGGCAGGTCCAGTGCAGCCTGGATCGAGTCAAGGCACTTTCCCACAGTGCACCAGTCGTGTGCCGTCACGCTCTCACCCGCCCTCCTGCCTCGCCTGTGCGCAGGGGGGACAGCCGCTCCCTGCGGGACAAGCTTCTCGAGAGCTGGGATGGCAGGACATACTACGAGCGGCTGCTGGAGATGAGCAGGGAGAAGGAGGAGGAGGAGGGGGAGGGGGAGCGAGAGGCGCAGCAGCCGGGGCGGCAGCACAGGGCCGCCCAGCCGGCCAAGCCCGCTGGCCGCACCCCTGCGGCCAGGGCGCCGCCGCCTGCCAGCGCCGCCAGCAGGGCGGTCCCGGTGGCAGCTCATGTGCAGCTGGGGCCGCCGGCCGCCGCGCCGGCTCCGGCGGCGCTGCTGGTGGGTGCGCCCGGCGGCAGCAGCGCCAGCGCCGCCGCCGCC